CTGCCTCACGAACTTCCCCCACACTCACAACTGGCTCTTCCTCACTCCTACAAGATGTTATTCCTCCTTGCCCTATACACGAAATCACAGCTTCCCTAACTTCATCAATTTTTAACAATTCCTCAAAATATTCCCTCCATCTTCCCAATACCTCTAACTCTCCATTTAATAACTCTCCTCTCCTATTTTTAACTGACAAATCCATTTGTTCTCTAGGCTTCCTTAACTTGTTAATCTCACTCCAAAACTTTTTTCTTATTTTCAACAAAATTTGTTGATAACATCTCACCCACTCTCTCATTGCTCTCTCTTTTATATATGTATTATATATATATATAATATATATATATATATATATATATAATATATATAATATATATATATATATATATATATATAAATATATACTGTATATATATATTGACTTAAGATTAGTATAAAATCGTTTTAAAAAATGAACGAAATATCCGAGGGGAATTGGAATCCAATAGTACAAATATATATTCATAAAACGCAGTTAGAACAGATAATAACTAACTTCAAGCAATATTTCAAAAATCTCCAGATAGAATATGCTATTTTGCAAAAGTTTACAAACTTGGTAAAAGATGCCCGTGTCTTTGTAGGTTCACACGTCAGGGAGGACGTATTGAGAAGAGACACTTGAAGACCTTGGAGGAACTGGTTGGTCACTATGACATTGTATGTAACTGCTCGGGGTTCGGTGCCAAGGATCTGGTCGGTGACGAGTTAGTCACACCCATACGTGGTCAGATTTACAAGGTCACTCTACTTCATATTATTTTTTTTATTTTTATTATTATTATTATTATTATTATTATTATTATTATTATTATTAATTATTATTAATTATTATTTTTATTATTATTATTACTTTTATTATTAGTAATAATTATTATTATTAATTATTAGTCATTATTATTTTTGTTAGTAGTAATTGTAATAGCGGCTGTAGTAGTACTGTAATAATAATTATTGTTTCTCTGATTATTACTGATAATTATATTTCATTGATCAGGTGCGTGCGCCTTGGATCAAAAACTTCTACTATGTGGACTATGACATGTATATAGTGCCTGGGTTTGAGTACATCACGCTGGGCGGCACCAGACAGTTTGATTCATACATAGAGGAGACGAACAAGTACGACTCCATGGCCATCTGGGAGCGGTGCCTGGCACTCATTCCAAGTCTCAAGGATGCCCAAGTGAGTCGGCTGCATTGACTAGTCGGTTAATTGTTTTTTTTAAACTATAACGACTACACGAGGATCATTAAGACTGTATTTAACCTGTTCACCACCAGTCAAGAACATGTAATCCCTGAATCGATATATATATATATATATATATAATATATATATATATATATATAATATATATATATATAATATATATATATATATATCGTGCCGAATAGGCAGAACTTGCGATCTTGGCTTAAATAGCAACGCTCATCTTGCCATATAGGACAATTGAAAATTTGTGTATGCAATAATGTCGCCAAAATCATTCTGAACCTAACGAAAAAAAATATATGTCACTAGGTTTGTTTATTATTAAATTATTGTAAACAAATCTAAAATATATTTAGTTGGGTTAGGCTAAAATAAATTGCTCTTGTTATAATAAGGTTAGGTAAGCTTTCTAAGGTTCTTTTGGTGCAAAATTAAAAAAATTTACATTAACATTAATGAAAAAATATATCTTTAAACGTATAAGAGAAAATTTAAAAAGAACTTAATTTTAAATTTCTTGATAACTGACCAGTATTACCTAATTGGCACAACACACACACACACACACACACATTAGGTGTAGGGAGGCAAAAAATAAGTGCACTAGAGAATGGAAAAGTACAGAAGGCAAAGAACCTTGGAAAATAAGGAGATTAATCGAAAAGCCAGGAACGAGTATGCATAGATAAGGAGGGAGGCCCAGCGACAGTACGAAAACAACATAGCATCGAATGTCAAGTCTGACCCGAAACTGCTGTATAGCCACATTAGGAGGAAGATAACAGTCAAAGAGCAGGTGATCAGACTGAGGAAAGAAGGTGGGGAACTCACAAGAAACGATCAAGAGGCATGTGAGGAGCTCAACGCGAGATTTAAGGAAGTATTTACAGTGGAGATAGGAAGGACTCTGGGAAGACAGAACAGAGGGGGGACATCAACAAGGAATATACCAAGTGTTGGATGACATACACACAACTGAGGAGGAGGTGTAGAAGCTGCTAAGTGACCTTGATACTTCAAAGGCGATGGGACCAGACAATATCTCTACGGGTCCTTAGAGAGGGAGCAGAGACGCTATGTGTGCCCCTAACCACGATCTTCAGCACATCCCTCGAAACTGGGCAACTACCTGAGGTATGAAAGACGGCAAATGTAGTTCCCATTTTTAAGAAAGGAAACAGAAACGAGGCACTAAACTATAGACTAGTGTCACTGACGTGTATAGTATGCAAAGTCATGGAGAAAATTATCAGGAGGAGAGTGTTGGAGCACCTGGAACGGAACAAGATTATAAATGGCAACCAGCACGGATTCATGGAAGGCAAATCCTGTGTCACAAACCTCCTGGAGTTTTATGACAAGGTAACGGAAGACACGAGAGAGAGGGATGGGTTGACTGGATTTTTTTGGATTGCAAGAAGGCCTTCGACACAGTTCCTCACAAGAGATTAGTGCAGAAGCTAGAGGATCAGGCACATATAACAGGAAGGGCACTGCAATGGATCAGAGAATACCTGACAGGGAGGCAACAACGAGTCATGGTACGAGATGAGGTATCACAATGGGCGCCTATGACGAGCTGGGTTCCACATGGGTCAGTCCTAGGACCAGTGCTGTTTTGTGAATGACATGACGGAAGGGATAGACTCTGAAGTGTCCCTGTTTGCAGATGATGTGAAGTTAATGAGAAGAATTAAATCAGATGAGGAATGGGAGGATTACAAAGAGACCTGGACAGGCTGGACATGTGGTCCAGCAACTGGCTACTCGAATTCAACCCCGCCAAATGCAGAGCCATGAAGATCGGGGAAGGGCAAAGAAGACCGCAGACAGAGTATAGGCTAGGTGGCCAAAGACTGCAAACCTCACTCAAGGAGAAAGATCGTGGGGTGAGTATAATACCGAGCACGTCTCCGGAAGCACACATCAACCAGATAACTGCTGCAGCATATGGGTGCCTGGCAAACCTAAGAATATCGTTCGGATACCTCAGTAAGGAATCGTTCAGGACTGTACACCGTGGACGTCAGGCCCATACTGAAGTATGCAGCACCAGTTTGGAACTCACACCTGATCAAGCACGTCAAGAAATTAGAGAAAGTGCAAAGGTTTGCAACAAGACTAGTTCCAGAGCTAAGGGGAATGTCCTACGAAGAAAGGTTAAGGGAAATAGGCCTGACGACACTGGAGGACAGGAGGGTCAGGGGAGACATGATAACGACATACAAAATATTGCGAGGAATAGATAAGGTGGACAGAGAATGTTCCAGAGACGGGACACAGAAACAAGGGGTCACAATTGTCAATTGAAGACTCCTATGAGTCAAAGGGATGTTGGGAAGTATTTCTTTAGTCACAGAGTTGTCCAGAAGTGGAATAATCTGGAAAGTGATGTAGTGGAGGCAGGAACCATACATACCTTTAAGACGAGGTGTGATAAAGCTCATGGAGAAGGGAGAGAGGACCTTGTAGCGATCAGTGAAGAGGCTGGGTCAGGAGCCGAGTCTCAACCCCTCCAACCACAAATAGGTGAGCAAATAGGTGAGTACACACCCACACACACTATTTTTTTTTTCAACAAGTCGGCCGTCTCCCACCGAGGCAGGGTGACCCAAAAAGAAAGAAAATCCCCAAAAAGAAAATGCCTTTATCATCATTCAACGCTTTCACCTCACTCATACATAATCAGTCTTTGCAGAGGCGCCCAGATACAACAGTTTTGAAGCATATATAAAGATATATAACATATCCCTCCAAACTGCCAATATTTATAAACTATATATATATATATATAATATATATATATATATATATATATATATATATATATATATATATATATATATATATATATATATATATATATATATTATATATATATGTCGTGCCGAATAGGCAGAACTTGCGATCTTAGCTTAAATAGCAACGCTCATCTTGCCATATAAGACAAGTTAAAATTTGTGTATGCAATAATTTCACCAAAATCATTCTGAACCTAACGAGAAAAATATATTTGATTGTGTTTGTTTAGTATTACAAAATTATTGTAAACGTCTTTAAAATATATTTAGTTGGGTTAAGCTAAAATAAATTGCTCTTGTTATAATAAGGTTAGGTAAGTTTTCTAAGATTCTTTTGGTGCAAAATTAGAAATTTTTACATTAACATTAATGAAAAAAAGTATAAGAGAAAATTTCAGAAAGGACGTAATTTTAAATGAGTTCTTGCTAATTGACCAGTTTTACATATTCGGCACGACATATATATATATATATATATATATATATATATATATATATATATATATGTGTGTGTGTGTGTGTGTGTGTGTGTGTGTGTGTGTGTGTGTGTGTGTGTGTGTGTGTGTGTGTGTGTGTGTGTGTGTGTGTATGTGTGAGTATGTATGTGTGTGTGTATGTATATGTATATGTCATGTGTGTGCATTTTCAAAGGTTTAAAAAAATAATTATTTTCAAAATATTTTAAATGCTGTACCTATATTTTTTTTAATGTCCCTGTGATAAATAAGACGGATTTTTCGTGATCATGGAATATTTGATTCAGGTTGAATCATATTTAGAACTTCAAAGGTTAGGTATGTCAACTTGGTTAAATATAATATAGTATTGGTTAGTTTCAGCCCAATTAGAAAATGTTAGTACAAGTTAATATCAGGCAAGATTAGTCGATTATGGCCAACATGTATGAAATTTCAACAGGTTAAATTCTGGGCTAAAGCATTATTGATCAAATTCCTTCTGAGGACGAACGATGTGGTGCAGTGTTGCTTCCCTTGCCACCGATGTACCGCTCATACAAGTTAGCGCTTGTTTTGAATATAATAACTGCAACTGTCTTGGCAGCGAGTGCTAAAGCCATGAACATGCACTAAGGACTGGCCCCATTTGTGTGTGTGCGTGTGCGTCCTGCATGGACACCTGTATCCTCATCCATCCCAGCAGATCGCGCCTGCCCTTGGAGCTGAGTGGCGAAGGACTTTAGATCTGAGGAAGTGGAGCTAATCGCCCCAGTCTGATCAAACCCAACCGCCTCCCATTCTCAGACGCTTCGTAGTCCCCATGGGTTTTGTGGAAAATTGCATTTATCTGAATGTAACTAATTATGTACATAACAGTAAATGATAAAGATAATTATTATTTATCAATGTTACATAGACAAGTAGGAATTTGGGACACCTAGGTCGCAAAAAATGTCCCCCTTCGATACCTACCATTGTCATAACCACAAGTTGCTCTAGACCTATTAATTAAATGAAATATACATACACCAGGAATACTGGTAAATATATAAATTTGTGGACTGTATATTAAAAATAATAAATGGTTATATATATACACAATTACATAACAGAAGGAAAATATATCTTAATATCACTCACCAATTTGACTGGCGATTAATGTGTATCATACTCACTCTAACTAAATCTATGAAAATAATGCTGGCCAGAATTACACACAAATCTAGAGAGCTTATCTGAGGTTCCTGGAGCTGTCTTGTCCAGTCGTCTGATATCTCAAGTTATGCAGGAATGCACATCCACCAATTTCGCCTCCTATTTGAGAGGTGTCAACACAATTTTAACCTCTAGAGCACGAAAAATTCTTCCCATTACACCAACGCTTGTACAAAATTCAAAACCAAGATGACGAGTCCCCTGCCCAGACGCAGGCTTTCCGTTTTCTATGACAAATATTATTAAATACAGTATAGGCCATCTATTTACCTATAAATTACCGTATTTCCGGAAAATATGTACAGTATTTTCCACAGGTTTACTACTTTCCCATAAATATAACAGTCGTAATCCTGGAGCTACGGCCCATTGGGTGTGAAGGGGTGCCCATTGGCACTCATTACACCCATTAAAGAAAGACAATTCTCCCCAGGTTGTGCAGGAGTGGGTGGGATGGCGACCTTACAGACCAGCAGTAAGAGTCGAGGAAGAATTTCTGACCTTTGACAGCGGCAGGAGTCTGAAAGTAAGTTCAAATTATAATGGTCAGGGTCGGGGAGTATCACAGTGAGTCTAAGGTCAATATTTGATTAGTAAACTTATATATAACAGTATACCACCGACAGCTTATGTACTAATATAACTGCTGGCATTACTGTAATGTTATCACTGTTGGCACTATTGTAATGTTATCACTGTTGGCACTATTGTAATGTTATCACTGTTGGCACTATTGTAATGAATATCACTGTTGGCACTATTGTAATGAATATCACTGTTGGCATTATTGTAATGTTATCACTGTTGGCACTATTGTAATGAATATCACTGTTGGCACTATTGTAATGCTATTACTGCTGTTTCCAGTGTAGATTGTAAATACCTAATTTTTTAACCAAAACTAAAAATGTGTAATGCATTGCATTATAATCACAGCTGGTGGGAAATTTAAACAAATCATTTAAAATTTTGAATTTTATAATATTCTGGGACAACTTTCTTGGCATTACAGACTCAGTTGGGCTGTTGAAATAAACGCTTGCTTTCGTGTTGATTCCGTTCCTTTATATTATTGTTCTCACTCGTTTCAGTAATTGTCCCCCTTTCCTGCAGGTGGTGCATAACTATGGTCATGGCGGCTATGGGGTAATGACAGCTCCAGGAACCTCCATACATGCAGTCAAACTGGTCATGAAGATGTTACCCTCGGCATTGTCCAAGCTCTGAGCTTGCATGTGAACCTTCTGAGAACTCATATTTTTATTATGAGGGCCCATGTTTAAGCTGTAAGAGTCCATACGTTAACTGTGATCACTTACGACACTGCTATTCAAATCCAAATTTTTATTTCTCTTATTACTGTTTACATGTAATAAAACTGTTAGGCGCAAAGGAACGCAAATGTATTTCGAGAAAACTAATTGTAATGATTAAAGACTACTTAAGAATTAAACATAGACTATTTGTAAATAGATATATTACTGAGTACTTTGCTTTTATTTGCCAGAATTTGCAAATTTGTGTAAATGTCTAATTACAGAGCCTACCTATATCCAACCATTTTCTTGCGTTTACCTTTCTGTCTGTTATCTATCCCTCTTAGAAGTATATTGAATGTAGACAGCCTGTACTGTCTGCACAGACAGCCCATGCTGTCTGCCAGCTTAGTTCATATTTCGCACCATGCTGGTGCTGCCACCTATAGGCCTTGCCACTTCAGTATGCCCAGACTTGCCTCGCTCTCACTCACACAGCGGCCTAGCAGGAAGACACAAGGCCTCCCAGCTCTCTCTCGTGGGCATGGCCCTGCCCAGGCCTTGGGCACAAACACACAAGCCTGTGTACCCACCACAACATTAACAATAAACAAAGAAGCCTCCGAGGAAGACGTATCATTTAACAACCTGCTTGCAGCACCTACCAAATAATCTTATAAATGGTACCAGCGGTGGTCGCAGCAGTGTGTTTGCCCAAAGCGAGGAAGGAAGAGGGATGAAGTCATCTTCACTTCATCATCCCATGCAAGAAGCATCCGTCTCTCAACGAGTTATCCTGATGTCGTGTCTGCACGTTTCAGCATCCAGACACAGGTACAAGCAGGATCCAGCCGAAATTTGCCGAATTTCTTCGAGAATTGTGAGTGGCGTCCCAGTGACTCCACGCTACAGTGTCCCACGCTGTTTCTGAAGTCACATGTTCAGCGTCACTTGTATGTTGTTGTTGTTGTTGTTGTTCAGCTCAGCACAGTCGTTTCAGCAAGCCAGAGGTGAGTTTTGTGGTGATTTCTGCGTCCAGTGTGAGTTCTCTACGTATTTGTGGGTGGGGGAGGAGAGGAGAGGAAGTGGCTGTTCCTCACCTTGCCCATGCTCACCCTACTCACGCTCACCCGTCTACCATACACCACTCACCACTGCCCACTCTGTCTGCTGTGTTTTCTGCTGTTTTCCATATGAATTCATTGCCAGAGCTGTGTATCCGAGTGCCCGAGGCCACTCGAAGCTACGTGGATCAGCATGCCACGTAGATCACGACACCATGTGGATCACGACGCCACGTGGGTGTGGGCAATGTCACGTAGACCTACGAGCTACATGAGTTACCAGATGTCCCAGGCCACATGCTGTGGTCTGCTGCCTGCATCACATTGACGTCTCCCATGATGCTGCCCAACTTCATGACGTCACGATGTCTGCTGACGTCACCTCACGATGTCTGCCTGACATCACTTCGAGATGTCTGCTGACATCACCTCGCGACATCACGCCTGACATCACATGATGTCACCATCGAGTGTTCAGTAATTATTTCAGTATTGTCGAGAAGATTGAGAGAAGATATATGTCGTGTTAATTAATTCCTCTCAGTCAGTGTTCTCACATTTTAGTATATGTCTTAGTGTCAGTTTTGTGCACAGAAAAGCATCATTTGCTAGTTTAAGCCGCGGTGTGTGTAAAGTTTCCGTGTGTCCAGTAAGGTCTGAGCCAGACCTGAGTAGCACCACTGTGTTAAGTCACCCGTGTGACTAGTGTGTTTGACAGCTATCAGACATCCCTGAGTGACCGAGCCCTCTTGTACAGAAAGCTTTTATGCTCGTCGCTCGTGATGTTCTGCAGAATCGTACCTGCTACGATTCCCATCGAGATTTGTTTCACTTCACCTCCAAACCTTCAGAGTGCAGTTATATGTAGAGAAACAAGTCTGGGGACGCTTAGACTAACCTCTGCTATAACTCCAACTGTCGAGAGATGATACTCGCCAAGCCGCAGTCAGCCCTGTCGGCAGGCGCTGTGTCAGCCTCGTGTCACAAGCTTCAGTGAGCAGCCTGCACAAAGATGTCACTTTGACTGCTAGCTCTCTCACTGCAGTCTGGTGTATGATGTTACGACTCCCAGATGTTTCGCCCAGTCGTCTCTGCCACGACTCGCTCCACAACTCGCTCCATGCTCGCCGGCAGTGACAGCCCAGCGACAGTACCAGTCGAGAAGTGTCCTCCTGAGTCGCTTGCCAGAAGTCCTGCCCAGTTGCTGAGTTTTGTTGACGCCTCACTCGAGGGCACCAGCATGTCGTGCCCCAGGTTGAGTGAAACCTGCAGCGACTCTTACGATGACTGCTTCACCGTTCCAGAGGAGACCGTACCCTGTTACGTCACAGCTCAGCCACAGCGATGTCTCCTGTGTTGCAGTATCTGTCCAGACGCAGGAAGGCGTGCAGTGATGCCCATCGACGCTCATTGCCTTTGACCACGATGTTTAGCACACCCACATATTTTTTCTTCCCTCCCTGTAGGAAGTTTTTTTTTCCATGTCCATATGTATACATATGTTTTTATTTTGTGTTCTGTGCCCTGTTCCTACGAGAGAGAGACCGAGTTTCTTTTACTACCAGTATTGTCGCGTCGGGACGACGCGTGGTAGGTGGCCAAGCGTATGTAGACAGCCTGTACTGTCTGCACAGACAGCCCATGCTGTCTGCCAGCTTAGTTCATATTTCGCATCATGCTGGTGCTGCCACCTATAGGCCTTGCCACTTCAGTATGCCCAGACTTGCCTCCCCCTCACTCTCACAGCAGCCTAGGGCATGGCCCTGCCTCGGCCATGGGCACAACACAAGCCTGTGTACCCACCACGACTTAATAATAAAGTAAGAAGCCTCCGAAGACGTATCATTCACACCCCGCTACCAGAATACCAAATAATCTCCTTATATGAAATACAATTTAGAGTATCATTAAACATTGTTTTAGCGACATGGTATACTGATGAATAAAATTTATCTTCAGAAGAGGATAAATTTACTTAATTTCTGCATTATAGGTATCGAGATAAATATGAAATTTAATTTTATTTTTTTTCCATATCCTATTATGTCATGCTACTATGGCCCATGTACAATCTAGCTGGGACAGCCCTATTGTAGAAAAGACTTCTGAAACGATGATAAAGCTTGGAAAAGGATCAAGTGCACTTCTAGGCTGTGACTTGACTGCGCTGGTGATTTTCTTTTAACAGTTCCTGTCTCCATAACTGGCACACATTTTAATCTGCAGACTGCATTGCAGTGGTTCACCATATTTCTGTCCCTATCCACACTAAGTATAAGTGCATTTGCAGTAAATTGGTAGCTGAGCAATATAATCTGGTGTGAACCGTGCAAGTGCCAAGATATGGGATATTAGACAATGAAGTTAACAAGATCAAGAGAAGTCTTGCTACAGTCCAGTGTCCGGTCGAGAGGACCTCGATCTTTACTGTCCAGCATGCTAGGTAGCCTACCAGCCGGCCAGATATGCCTGACAACAGATATCCAGATAATAATATTTTATTTTGATATGATACATGTTTGTACAAAGGAATATAATAGTTGGGTGAACATACCAAAAGCCCCTTTGTATGCAGAGCATTTCGGGCAAACTTAAGATTAATAAGGCAATAACATTTGGTCATTAGATGAGTTACAATGAATACAAGAGAAATGAGTATTCTACCCACCCAGATATGTCTGCCAGACACCCAGTTATGTCTGCCAGACACCCAGATATGTCTGCCAACCCCCAAATGGGATCACATATCTAGAATAGTAGCTACGGTACCCCGTGACCTGGTGGCAAAAACTCTCGCTTCACACGGTGATGGTCCGGGTTCAATTCCCGGCGAAGGAGTGGAAACATTGGACGTGTTTCCTACACCGGTTGTCTATGTTCATCCATCAGTAAAATGGGAACCTGGGTGTTAGTCGACTGGTGCAGGTCGCATCCTGGGACAAAACTGACCTAATTTGCCCGAAGTGCTCTGCATAACAAGTGGCTTTCTATACAGTAGTATGTCATTGATGTCAGCTAGGCCTGTATACCCTTACATGTACTTGTAGTAAATAAAGATATTATTGTTATTATTATTATTTGTTTCCACATTACGGTTGCATACACAGGCACTATATTGACTGACCGCTGTTGCTCACTCATGTAATCTGTAATTTGTATTTGTATAATCATGGGAAGCGCTAAATCTGTAAGGCTCACACAGCGCCTAGAGAATGGGTAGTAATCATCTTGGATCAGGGAACGGGATCGGGAACCTTTCACCAGCATCAAAGCGTCCCCCCCTCCCTTGGAAGATCTATGAAAATGGAAATAATTAAATTTGATGCTGTCAGGACTCTTAATTTGAGTAGCTGGAGCCATTCTTTTTTCCAGGAGCTGCATGCCCCTACTGGTTTACAGCTTTCCACTGAATATAACAATAACAGTAACAACAATAATAATAATAATTAATAATAATCACCAGGCTCTGCATAAATCCTACGGGGTTTAGCGCTTCCCAGTATAGTCTCCCCCCACACTCAAACACCCCAACCCACTCTACCTCAACCAACGCAAGAGACAGTAGCTGAACCTTCAAACTCTCAAGAGACACCTGAACTAACTCCCTGAGAAGACCCAGGAGCTATCGCTCAATCCTTCCAAGAGGTGCAGACGTTGGAGATCAATACCTTGAAGGTCCCTCATGGAAGGTGTCTTGATGCCAGTGAGGGAGTCATGACTGGAGGAACTGGTCTCCTCAAGGGAGGTTCCTTGACGCTGGTGAGGGGCTCTTGATCTATGGAATTTGATCTGTGCTCCAGTTCCCTGAATTGAGATTGAATGCCTCCCCCCCCCCCCCCGCCAAGCGCTGTATAATCCTTAAGGGTTTAGTCTCCCCATGATAAAAATAATAATAATAGGGAAATTGGAACTATCTTCCCTTTCCTTGGATCGAGACTAATTGCCTGCCATTCCTCCAGGCACTACATGCTTTCTTTTGTATCTAACAATTATCTGTATAATCATAAAAGAAACATTAATAATAATAATATTATGGCTAATAAACACACAAGAGTCATGCATTATTATAATCAATACTAAGCGCTAAACACGCAAGGGTCATACAGCGATGCCTACACACAAAAGAAATAAAGTTGTGGAGAAATTACGTCAAACAGGTGGGTAAGAGTCATGACCCCCTAGTCCCCCCCCCTGCTTGAGTAATTTGAATAATTCCTCCACAGAGTCTGAATTTAAATTTGACCGCAATGGAAATAAGAGAGTCCTGGATGAGACACTGACTTTCTAGGGTCTGCTAACTCTCCCCCGGGTTAAAAATCCTAACAAATCTTACTCATCTTGTCAACTAAAGTTGCGAATTATATCGTAAAACTTAAGTTCACGTAAGTTACACTCAGTAAATATTAATGCCGCTGACTTTTTTATAAACAGAATATTACTGGAACAACAGATCGACATACTGGAGCTGATTGGTGGTTCAGCGCGCGATAAACCACACACATCTTCCTCTTGTAAAAGTTGGTGTGTGGATAAAATCTCCTAAAATAACAATCTGCGCAAGAAATACATATTTATGCCTGGTTCTGGTGCACTGTTTGTATAAGAGAAAAAAATAAATGGCCGAGTTCTGTCGAGTAGCTAAAGTAAATATTGACCAAACCAATAATTAAAATAAATAGTATTTCACTGAAGAAATATCATATAGGCCAGCAGCTTTTCCCACGACTGTAAATTCGTAACTATTATTCTGAAGTCGATAAATTTGTAAACAGATGAAGAGATGCTTATAAGTAAGTTTATTCAGGTATACACAAATAGTTACATAGATTATCATACATAGCAGCATATGTGTAGAGAACCTGGGATAACCCCCAAAAAAGTCAGTGACTTATTTCCATTGGGAATCCTTGACGTATTTCCATTGATGTCCTTATTTTTATTTCCATTGGAGTTCTTATTATTATCCTGTTACTAAATAGAGACAAATGTTGAGGCCCAATCCCGATCCATTACGTAAGTCCTTGAACTCATTATGAACCTCTGCATTTTTTTTTTACTATCTCCCACAGGATTGGTATGAGGTGCTTAATGAAGGTATTAAAGTAACTTAAAAACTTTCCCCATGAGCAATTCGTCGCCATCTTGATAGGCATAAATTGATTGATGAATCTCAACACGGTTTTACAAAGGGGCGTTCCTGTCTTACGAATTTACTAACTTTTTTCACTAAGGTATTTGAGGAGGTAGATCATGGTAATGAATATGATATTGTGTATATGGACTTCAGTAAGGCTTTTGACAGGGTCCCACATCAGAGACTATTGAGGAAAATTAAGGCACACGGAATAGGAGGAGAAATTTTTTCCCGGGTAGAGGCATGGTTGACAAATAAGCAGCAGAGAGTTTGCATAAATGGGGAGAAATCAGAATGGGGGCACGTCACAAGCAGTGTTCCACAGGGGTCAGTGTTGGGCCCCTTGTTCACAATTTACATAAACGACATAGATAAGGGAATAAATAGCGACATAAGTAAACTTGCTGATGACACCAAAATAGGCCGTCCAATTCATTCTAATGAGGATACTAGAGCACTCCAGGATGATTTGAATAGACTGATGCAGTGGTCGGAGAGGTGGCAGATGCAGTTTAATATAGACAAATGCAAAGTGCTAAATGTTGGACAGAAAAATAACCATGCGACTATAAACTCAATAATGTAAATCTTAATACTACTGATGGTGAAAAGGATTTAGGAGTTCTGGTTAGCAATAATCTAAAACCAAGACAGCAGTGCATAAGTGTTCGCAATAAAGCTAGCAGAATCCTTGGCTTCATATCTAGAAGTATAAATAATAGAAGTCCTCAGGTTGTTCTTCAGCTCTATATAGCCTTGGTTAGGCCTCATTTAGACTATGCTGCTCAGTTCTGGTCACCGTATTACAGAATGGATATAAATGCTCTGGAAAACGTACAGAGGAGGATGACAAAGTTGATCCCACGTATCAGAAATCTTCCCTATGAGGATAGACTGAGGGCCCTGAATCTGCATTCTCTCGAAAGGTGTAGAATTAGGGGGGATATGATCGAGGTGTATAAATGGAAAACAGCAATAAATAAAGGGGATGTAATAGCGTGCTGAAAATTTCCAGCCAAGACAGGACTCGCAGCAATGGTTTTAAGTTGGAAAAATTCAGATTCAGGAAGGATATAGGAAAGAACTGGTTTGATAATAGACTTGTGGATGAGTGGAACAAACTCCCGATTACAGTTATAGAGGCTAAAACGTTGTGTAGTTTTAAAAATAGGTTAGATAAATACACGAGTGGGTGTGGGTAGGTGTGAGTTGGACCTGACTAGCTTGTGCTACTAGGTCTAATGCCTTGCTCCTTCCTTAAGTGGAAGTGACCTGACTATGTGGGCCATTGGGCTAATTGGTGGGGGAACATGGACCTGCTTCGCATGGGTCAGTAGGCATGTTGCAGTGTTCCTTCTTTCTTATGTTCTTATATTCTTATAAAAAAGTAGTCTCCCGCGATCCCTCAACATAAAGTCGACTGTCAGCAAACGTAATAATAACAAAAATAACAAAACAAGCATTATATATTAGAAAAATTTATTTTTTTTAAATATTTCTTAATATATGAGTAAAATGAGAATAAAAAATTGGCATAAAATAACGATGATGTTTATAAGTAAGTCGAGGGTCTGTGGCGGGAGTGATCAGTGTCAACAAGAGCGTCTGAGACCTGAAGATTTTCCTATATTTATTGCTTAATAATGGCTAACTTGGAGCAGGATCCCATGTTGCAGGATGATGATGTGA